AAAAAAAAAAGTGAGAAAAGACATTCCAACTAAAATTTAGGGAGTTGTTTACGATATCGAAAAAAAAAATAAATCGTACTAATATTTATTATTTTTATAGGTATTTTTATTATTATTAGATGTATTTTTATTATTGTTGTGATATCGAAAAAAATAATAAAAATAGTAACTAAAACAATGGTAAAAACACCAAAAAAAGTGGTATTTTTTTTGTATCGAAAAAAATATAATAAAAATACTTACAACAATAGTGACAAAAAAATCCACAAAAGTGATTAAAAATTTGTTTTAAAAATATTCATAGAAATTATAAAAACATTCATAAAAATAATAATTTTTAGAAATACAGTACCGAATTTTTTTATTCAATACCATAATCAAGTCCAAAATTTAGAAGGGGTCGTTTTTCTTTGTACTTTGTTTCATGTGAATCCCAATGTGTTTCCTATTTAAAGTAATTTATATGAAAAGCTTTATTTAAATCAATGTTTATAATTTTAAAAAAATGTTGCATTAAAAACATAATTTAAACCATGTTCTATAAAAGACTAACCTTAAATAAATTTATACTACTTATAAATGTCGGCATCTATAAAAAAAAATTTAATTTTCTATTTTACCCCTAATTATTACCTTAAAAGCTATTATGCCCACAAAATATTAGTTAGATAAATTTACCTTACAAAAATTTTTAGAATTAGAACTAAAATTAGTTTGTGTTCAATTGAATTAGTGTTTTCATTAAAGTGATAATGAACACCCAAAAAAGGGTATTCTTCATTTTAAAGTGATAATGAACCCCCAAAAAGTATTTTTCATGAAATGAAGAGATTAATTTATGTCGAAGATTAATCTAATCTCCTAATATTTAATTACTAGTTATTACCTGCGCCTGAAGACATAAAATAATAAAAAATAATAAACAGTAAATATATTTGTATTCATATGTAAAATCAAATCACAAACATAGAGAAGAGATAAAGGAATTTAAGCATCGCTTTTTATAGTGGGGGTGAGAAGTGGTGGGCAGTAGTGGCAGTAGTAGGAGACGGTGATGATTTTAGTGGGTGACAATGACCGTGACAATGACAGCAATAGTGGTGGCGGTGGCGGCGTCAGCGATGGTGGTGGTGGTGGCGGGGGCGAAGGCGATGGTGGTGGCAGTGGTGGAAGTGGTGGTGGCGGTAATGGTAGCAGTGGCGATGGCGGGGGTGGTGTGTAACGGGTGGTGACGACGGTGATGGTGGTGGTGACGCCGACAACAACGATAGTGGCGGCGGTGGTGGAGGTGGCGGTAGTAGTGGTAAGACGATTTCAAACACTATTTTTTTTTAAAGTATTTATGATAAATAATTTCTAAAAGTACTTTTAAAAAATCACTCTAAACACATCCCTTATGAGCCTAGTTTTTCTATTAAATTTAGGTGTTAATATTAGGTGTCAGATTAACTTTAAAATAAAATTTAAAACGATCTCAACCGCGAATAGCAAAAGTCATTTTGTTTATCTTTTGAAATTTGAATTGTAAGCTATTTTATTATATAGATTTATTATTAGTAGGCTTGTAATGTTTTAGGATTTGTTATTATATTATGGTTCGAATTAATTTTGTTACCGGACTTTTTGAATTCATGTGGTGGTGGAATAGTTTTAAATTAGTATGTTATATTTTGGAGTTTGTTGATCTTGTGTTGTAATATTAGAAAGTCTTATTGGATTCAAGAAGTCATTAAATGCGTAGAGCAGTAATTTTTTGTTTCGTCATCTTCATACACTTCTTATTTTTAAAAAATATAATTAAAATTTTATTATCTAGATTTTTTTTTCACGTTCAACGCATGTGTGTATTACTAATAAAAACTAACATGGATAAAAAATAAAATTAGAGAACCACGGAATAAAAGTTTGGACTTCTCGGCTGTCCATCGTGCAGTCACAAGTTAGTAGGCCTGCTTTTTTTTCTTAGCAACTTTGATGTATGGAGAGGACAGGCACCCAATTTTGTCTTGTCTCTCTTAATTTTGGAAATTTTTTATTAATAATTAAACTAGAAATCACTATGGATGAAAATTAAGCATTAAAAGGGCGCGCTAACGCAACATTTTCTCCTTCCAAATCCTCGAATTTCTATAAAGGAAAGAAAAATAAATGAAAAGATTGATCAAATTCTCGTTTTTCTTTCACCTTAAAAACTCTAAACAAGATATTTTATTGTTTATAATAGAGTCAAGTTTGTTAAGATCTCTTTTTTATAAATGAACTTAAAAAATTGTTCAAATTCGACTTGTTTAATCGAACTCGAATCGAGTCGAATTTTGGTCGTGTCTGTGGAGAAAAATACAATACTTCACGTGTAGGGTCTTTTTATTCAATTATATACGAGCAATCGCACAGTAAACCTAGAACGTGGGTGAATAGGTACAATTATCTCAATTTTAACCCAATTTGACTACAATTACCTCTTTTAAGTCTTCTCATGATATGACAATCTAAGTAAGAACCATCCTTTTTTAACCCCCACAATCCAAAATATCTCATGATGATTAGTGTATTAATTTTATCAATTTTTTGATTAACACTCAATTTTAAAAGATGACCTCAATCAAGGCAACCCAAACTCTATCAAGCAACTATATGTGATATGTCAATTTAATATTCCATTTATCAAACACATAGTGCACGTGTGTGTATCAAATCACAAGTGTATATGTAAAAACAATAAATAACACAAGCGAAGTGGAAACCCTTCTCGGAAAAAATTGCTGAGAACATTCTTGATTCACTAAAGCCTAATCCACTAAATCAAAGTCTCCTTCCTTCATAGATTCTCCGTCGAAAGTTCCTCTCCGACATTATGATTACNGTGTATCAAATCACAAGTGTATATGTAAAAACAATAAATAACACAAGCGAAGTGGAAACCCTTCTCGGAAAAAATCGCTGAGAACATTCTTGATTCACTAAATCCTAATCCACTAAATCAAAGTCTCCTTCCTTCATAGATTCTCCGTCGAAAGTCCCTCTCCGACATTATGATTAGNATTCACTAAAGCCTAATCCACTAAATCAAAGTCTCCTTCCTTCATAGATTCTCCGTCGAAAGTTCCTCTCCGACATTATGATTACCTTCACTTGGACCTCCCCGTTGCACAGTTTGTCTAGGTCTCAAGCAATCTTCAAGCATTCATACCCAAAACTCTTAGTTTGAACATTCTAATAGGTTTGGTCTTCACCCAATCACGTCAGGTCAAAGACATGTCATCCATGTCGGAGACTAGAGTATTTATGAAAGATAAATTTCTCATGACTTGACTTTAAAAAATTGTCAAAATTTAAATNCAAGCATTCATACCCAAAACTCTTAGTTTGAACATTCTAATAGGTTTGGTCTTCACCTAATCACGTCAGGTCAAAGACATGTCATCTATGTCGGAGACTAGGGTATTTATGAAAGATAAATTTCTCATGACTTGACTTTAAAAAATTGTCAAAATTTAAATTCAAAACATTTGAATTGCTCGGAGTCACTTGGAAAAACCCATTTCACTCCCAAAACTTGGATGCTTAAGCCCTTCCTTAAGGATGACGTATTATTTGCTCTCCAGTGGAATCATAAATACATTGGTCAATTTTGAGAATTTAAACTGTTGTCCAATTAAAGCAAAAGATGTATAAATTTTCTATTATTTGAACCTATTTATTCGAAGATCTTGATAACAGGCGAATGTTGTAAAGTATTCTTAACCACAAAACAAGTTGTGTTCTGTCTTTTTTTCTCAACAATGAAACAAAGTGATAATGAAACATCGCGACATGAGAAAAACATGAGAGAGATGAAGGCAGATCTTTATCAGTCCTACGGACATTTGATGTGGTTTATCTTTGTTACGATCTTGGCCTCAAAAACATTATCACTTCATCCATCTTTCACTCTCTCTCTCTCCTATTTTCCTTCATGTCATTGTATTTCAGTGTCACTCTCTTTCACTGTTGAAAGCCAAAACATAAGTAAAACCTTAATGACAGGAGATTGGAGTAGTATCCTTAACCACATAACAAGTTCACCGGACAAATTCCAACTCNAAAACATAAGTAAAACCTTAATGACAGGAGATTGGAGTAGTATCCTTAACCACATAAACAAGTTCACCGGACAAATTCCAACTCTAAGCCTATCCCAAGCCAAGGCATGCCTCAAAGTTCGAATGTTAACACAGTCTTCACCCATCTGTTCCTGTGATTGGGAAAAAAGGAAAATTTGGGAAATGAATTTTTTCTCTCAAAGACGGTTCCACTCAGAGAAATCTGCTACCTATATAGAACTGATAAGTTGAAACATTAAACATAAAGAATCTAGTATATAGAAGCTCAAATGCAATCTAAAACGCGTCAAGCAAATATTTAAACAACAGAGACCCGCATTAATGTCCTACGCTGCCCCTATTTAACGTTAACGGTCAACCTCAACTATCTTATATTACTTACCATAGAAAAAGGCCATCCAGATGGAAGTCCTGAGGGTTCTTTAGCAGCATCCCCAACAATCTAATACTTTGGCTAATCGTCATAACTATTGACCACCACAGGAAAATAGTCTCTCCTAGTGATGCTGCTAAAGAGAACCATACAACATTTTGAGCCAACAATCAATAATTAATGTTGAAAGTGGGGATCGTTTTACAGTTTCAGTGTAAGCATAACAATTAAAGCATTGAAGGTACATTTCGTTGGACTTCAAATAGTATAGACGAAAAGTTTTCCAGGTATGAGCACCAATTCAAACACAAATCTTTAATTAACATAACTGCACCCAGAAATATTCTTGACGGTAATATGTCTAAATGAAATGAACCAGGTCTGCATGCAGAATCAAAACTATTGAATTCTCCTGGCATCAGCCTATGAAATGTGTTCACATGCACCATCAAGTTGTTAAATCACATTCTGGCATCCATATCCGAAGGAGTTTGTCATAAAATGAGCAAGTAGCAACTACGGTACTCTTCTTTGTACTTTTGTGGCATAAATCCCCTCTATGCCAATCAGCTCCATATGCAAGTGACCCATGATTACTGTACATTTCAATAACTTCAGCTTGATCTGCCTTTATATTCACAACTGCAAACCCGTTGTGCATACATGCTGCCAGGACAAAGCCAGGTACAAAGGGATGATGCTTGATTCTCCAAACTCCTCCCCCTAAACAGATGGAACTTTCATTTATTGGCTTTGATATTGATCTCACATCCCATACCCTCAGGTACTCATCATAGCTACCAGTAAGTAAAGTATAGGGGTCACTGGGGCTCTTTGCAATACAACAAACACCCATTTTATGAACTTTTGAATTCTGGAATGCCAACTTAGAAGGACCATCCCGCAAATCCCAGCAACTGAATTTGCAGTCATCTGAACCGGTGTACACAAGCTGTGGTTGTTGGATATCAAAGGAAGTAGCCCATAGCTCAAACTCATGAGCTTTCCATTCTTGCACTGCATGAACTTGGGATTCAAGAAGGGAGATTACCGAGACTGAGCCATCTGAAAGGCCCACCGAGATGGATGTAGCTGAGGGGTTCCAATCTAGGCATAGGCACATAGAGGAACTGACATGTTCACCACTGATCTCTTTCAGAATCCCTGCAACAATTACAAAAACACTTCTATTCTTGTAGTTCAATGAGAGGCCAATTCCAACCGGTGTCATAAACATGGCAGGAACAAAGAAACAGAGGATAGAAAATGAGAACATAACTACATAAGATATGAAATCATATATCTTAAGTTTACTACTCTAGAAACCTAATAATTTGCTAATGCAGCAGCGAAAGCTTTACTCTTGACAATGGCCAACATCAGGAGGGGCAGACTACTAGCTAAGGTACTAAGAGGAAATAAGACTGTGTCAGTCTGATCCAGTGTGTGCATGTGTGTGTGTGTGTGTGTGTGTGTGTGAGCAAGCAAGGAATGAAATCAGCCACTTCATGAATTTTAGTAGATAGTTGCACTTTGTACAAAATAGTAAACATACCAAGAACTTCAGATCCATCCACAGAATTGTCAAGCCTATGAATCCTCAAGTAACCATCAGCATCAGCTTGAGCAAGCAGACGACCAACATTACCCCCAACTGGGTTCCACTTTATATCAAAAATACCAGCTGTCTCCACCCTATGAATCAAATCAAGACTACCCACATCAGCATTGACATTGAAGAGCGATATGCTTCCTGATCGAGTGGGCTGATCACCCTCTTGTAGCGTGTACGTCGAAGCAGCTAAAATGTGGTGGAAAGAATCGTGAGGACAGAATTCCACAGCATCGGCATTGCCGTCTAGATAGCAATGCGCAAAATCCATACCGAAGTGATCGCCAAATAAATTGAACAATGTCAAGAATGAGGCAAACTCAAGTCAGTAACCTTTGGGGCATTTCGTCGAACAGCTTATAGACCACAATTGACAATAAACACTTCAACACCATCCATGCTGCTATTCAGAGAGAGAGAGAGTTAAATATTACAATCTAAGAATGGNGTGTGTGTGTGTGTGTGAGCAAGCAAGGAATGAAATCAGCCACTTCATGAATTTTAGTAGATAGTTGCACTTTGTACAAAATAGTAAACATACCAAGAACTTCAGATCCATCCACAGAATTGTCAAGCCTATGAATCCTCAAGTAACCATCAGCATCAGCTTGAGCAAGCAGACGACCAACATTACCCCCAACTGGGTTCCACTTTATATCAAAAATACCAGCTGTCTCCACCCTATGAATCAAATCAAGACTACCCACATCAGCATTGACATTGAAGAGCGATATGCTTCCTGATCGAGTGGGCTGATCACCCTCTTGTAGCGTGTACGTCGAAGCAGCTAAAATGTGGTGGAAAGAATCGTGAGGACAGAATTCCACAGCATCGGCATTGCCGTCTAGATAGCAATGCGCAAAATCCATACCGAAGTGATCGCCAAATAAATTGAACAATGTCAAGAATGAGGCAAACTCAAGTCAGTAACCTTTGGGGCATTTCGTCGAACAGCTTATAGACCACAATTGACAATAAACACTTCAACACCATCCATGCTGCTATTCAGAGAGAGAGAGAGAGAGAGAGTACAAGAAGCGCCAAACTTGCAGTTTAGTTAGTTTGGAAGCTGCCTAAGTTTGACGCGAAATTATCGGTAAATATTTTTTCTGAACGAGTAAATGTTAGGTATAATTGTTACACTATGAGCATTGTTATCCGATAAGAAAATAACAAAATAAATAAAATAAAGTTGACTTCCTATCGTAGAAATAACTATATATTACATGGTTAGGTATAGGGGTATCTATGAGTCGGGCCGAACTAGGCTCATAAATTTTTTTGGGCCGAACTTGAATAAGATAGACCCAAACTCTTATCCAAACGGGTTAAGTCAGACTTTGGGTAGACTCAAAACTCAAAAATGGATAAAAAAATAAATAATGAATAAGTTTATTTAAATAAAATAGAGTCATATATTGTCATCAAATTTTAAAAATTTCAATTATCAATTTTTTTTCAAACAATTGGGTAAAAGGGTTGGACAGGGGAGGTCTTGGGTGGGCTCATGGGCTGGATAGTAGATTTGAGGGCAAGTTCAAGCCTTCTTTTGCCGGATATTGAACTCAGGTTCAAGCTTGGACAAGCCAACTGTCGGGTCTATCGAATTTCAGACCTATTTTTTAGGTCAAATAACTAGACACATGGGTCAACCCTACCCATAGACTAATTGGGTGGTTATGAGTTTTAGGGTGCCTTATTTGTTGACTTGTTTATCTATTAATAGACAATTACACCACATGACACTGTTGACGTGGTGTAATTGTTATATCCAATATTTTTTTGGTAACAATGACACCACGTCATTATTGACACATGATATTACCATCTAATAATAAACATATACACGGGTAAGATGAACTCCACTTTTGTGATTATTAAATGACATGACAGAGTGGTTACTATAATATGTAGAATTCACCGACTTATTTGTTATGTTTTTATTGGATAGTTACACCATATGAAAATGATGACGTGATGTCATTGTTATACCCAATATTTTTTTTTGCATATTTGGGAGCTCATTGCATTCAATAAATATTATTAGATAAAAATAAAATCAACCTTGAACCATTCTTGTTGTTTTAAATTGTCCTCTGAAATTTCAATTGTTCTAATTTGTCTTCTAAATTATATAATTTTTTGTCAATCAATATTTTTCATTAAAATTAATTATTACGTAAGACAAATTAACAATTAATACTAATAGAATAACTCTTATTTAATATTTAATCTTAAAATTTTTTATCTCATTTATTAGTTAATCTTAACAAAATTGGTCTAATGAAATAAAGTATATAGTTTAAAGGATAAAGGATAAATTTGAACAATTAAAATTTACAGAGCAATTTTAAAACAAAAATCGGAGTATTTATAAGATTTACCCAACACTATTTCAACAGATAATTTTTATTCCAGATACCTAAATCTCTTTCCCTCTCTCTCACTAAAATAACAAACTAGCAGAGAAAGAGAGATGTACATGCTGTAATGTGTTGTAGTGTTGTGTCAAGTGAAGCAAATGCAAAGACTAAATTGAGTGAAGCGAAATCATTTGACGAGAGCGGTCGTCGTTCCTAGATCGCAGGGAAAGAGAGGTTGGTTGAGTCTTCATCCTTTCGTCGTCGAGGGAGGAGACGAGGGTTGGAGAGAGACAAAGGCGTGAATCAGATCAGATTATCAGAAGTAATTACGGAAAAAATGCCCAAAATCTCTTGGTGGTGTTTGGTTTGTGTTTTGAAAACAGTTTTTTGATTTCAAAATACAAAACATTTTTGAGATATTGTTTGGATAGCAATTTTCAAAAACAATTTTTTCAAAAAAAGTGTGAATTGAAAACAAAAATTAGAAAACAAGGAAAACAAGAAAAACAATCACACTCTTTAATGAAGTCTTTCATTCGAATTCCTTTACCAGCAATATTAGCTATAGTATATAGACTTTTTTTTTTTGCCTTCCTATCTCCGTGACTCTCTCTCTCCACTCAGCAAAACCAGGCGTCTTCTATTTCACTCCGGCGACTGGAAAGCTTTGACGACTGAGAGACCAGGCGTCTTCTACGTCACCGGCATAGCTCCGGCAAACCACAGGTGCAACTTCGGAGACCTGTAGTCTTTTATCTCTCTCACGCAACAGATCTATGTTCAAATCTATATATATACATAGATCTATATGTATATATGTGTGTGTGTTGTGCAATGGTTGTGTGTATGTGTGTTTGTTGTACGTGTTGGTGTGTGTATGTTTGTGATGTGTGAGAAGACAACGGAGAGAGAGATGCTCTGAGAAGATAATGGAGAGAGAGAGTTGCAGTGTGAGAAGATAATATAAAGAGGAGAGAGTGAGACTTGATGTGAGAAGATAAGTTAAAAATTAGTTTTGTGGATTACTGTTCAAACAAGTTTTATTATTTTTTTTATTTTAAAATTATTTTCAAAATCACATAACCAAACAAGTTTTGTAATACAAAAATATCAAAAAATATTTTTTTAAAATTCTTCTCAAAAATTATTTTCGAATACTGTTTTTAGAGATGCAAACCAACAGGCCCTACGATTTGTGTCTCAAAACCTGTTTTTTGTTCTCAAAATTTTAAAAACAAAGAAAACATGTTTGATTAGGTGTTTTCAATCTCTAATTTTTCAGAAAAAAGTGGGAATTGAGATGAATTTTTTAGAGAATATGTTGGGGGTGTTTTGACTAAATTTGGGAACAAATTTTCAAGAACACAGAAAACACGGGACACAAGCCCCAACTAATAAAATCCCACCATCGAATCCCATTAACTACAAAATATGAGCACTGACGATGACGAACTCTAGTTGCCTTCTCCTCCTCTTCTGAAAGTCGACGACAACGTATGAGCACCGATGAAGGCCAAACGTCGACAACGAATAGTTGTAGCCTTCTCTCTCTCGCGCAACTCATCCCCTACCTTTCTCTCTTTGCAACAGATTTGAACATATATGTATATATACACAGATCTGTGTGTGTGTATATATATGTATGTATTATGTGATGTATATGAGTGTGTGGGTGTGTGATGTGTGTGTGTGTATCTATATATATATACATATGTACTAGTTGATGCACATGTGTGTTGCACGTGAACCATGTTGAATACTAAAGCCTTGGACCTTTTTTTTTAATCAAAACCAAATGCTTCTATTTCATCCTCTTGATAATATATATGAATACTAACCTTTTACTGTGAGTGTTTAGATGACATATTCATGTACTACCAATAAAGTGTAACAAGCAACTAATTTCAGGATCATTTGACCGCATTGTGAACTGCTCTTTCAAGGATTGCAATTGTGTTTCTCGATCCACTAGTATAGGTTCCAACTTTAGATTGTATTGCTAAGCTAGGGAACACCATCAATATGGGACTGTGACAGCTTTGATTCCAGTTTCATGCAATTTCAAAGCTAAGGCTGTGAACAAATATAACAACAAGCTAAAATCAGTGTTTGAAGATATATGATTTTTAAAAATGGTCAAGTGAAAGTCATACATATGTATCAGCAAGTGCCTAATGAAATTTTGTCATGTTTGTCTTGTAATAGAGTTGGATATTCAATCAATGGTGTGAATGAATCGAAATAAGCTAGGATGGTGAAGGTCAATCTTATATTATTTAAAAGGCAGTAAACCAGTCAAAAAACATGATGTCTCTTCCAAGACCCATTTTAATAGAATTAACCAACTCTCTCGCCAAGCAATGCTAATTTTTGCATAATGGGTTGGGTATACATACTTAAAGACTAAAGTAGAACAATCAAAAAGTGAGTCCATACTCTACCTTGATACCTTTTCCAAACAACATAATAAATACTACAATATAGTGAATTAACACATAACCTATAATTTATAATGGTCAGTAACGATTGAACAATGAAGGGCTTCTTTATGGCAGCCAAGGAAATTGTATTACCAAGAGTCAAGGTGGTGGTTTTTATCTATTCTCTGTCTCCAAGGATTCAGTTAAAATCTAGATTTTTCATAAGAAGGTTATCGCATAACCCAAGAACCCTTAGGTCAAAACCTCAACCGACCCATAAGAATAATCAATAAATTTCTTGTAAAAACCAATAATAGTTGAAGTAATCAGCTATTTGATGCCCATAAGAGCCTCATTAGTGACATGAGATTGTGTGTGTCACAGAGAGAGAGAGAGAGAGAGAGAGAGAAAGACGGAGAGATGAGGGAGGAGGCGACTTACTACCCAATAAATCAATCACAAAAAGAACAAAGGAGATGAGACATTATAAAGTGGAAAACAGCCACAATTGAGTTTCCTTGACTTACATAGAACAAGATTAATAGGCTGACAAAAATACGAGCTCCCACCAAATAATACTTTCTTGTTTGTTAGTTTTAAATCTTAATGTTCTCTGGAATTTGCTAGTAGGTATAAAATCTAAAGGAGTATTTGTTTTGTATCAGGAATATGCAAATATCTAATTGATTAGTTCTTTCTTTAATTCCTCTTATATGTGGCCTTTTAGCAACCTCATTTAGTAGAATGAGTTGGGTTTGTTTCACATTTTTCTGTTTTTATCTTCTTTATGCGATGGTTATTAGGAACCTTTATTTCAACTAGTTGTTGCACATGTGCATTACAAGTTAATCATTTTATAATTATGTATATTAAGTATCATGTGTTCATCTATATAATAAAATAGTTAGATTGTTTGTCTTGAACTTTTCGCGACTCATATCATTTTGATCAGATAGTCCTAATTGAATTTTCACTTCTACTGCAACTCTAAGAGTCTCATCTCTCATATAACTCTCTCTCTCTCACACTATTATCTATTTTTTTGTTTGTCCTGTGTTTTTTGGTTATTATTTACTCTATAAAGAT